AGACGGGGTCACAGCCTGTTTTGCAGCTGGGAGAAACTCCTGCTTTCCTGAGCCCTGTTTGCTTGTTAACGGCATGGGGAGCCACTTCCTTAATGACGGGCAGGCAGAGCCTGCTGGCAGCTTCCTTCCTTTCTGCCCCTTCTCTCCCCTCTCCCCCCCAGCTGTAAGCAAGTCAGAGCCTCTTACCTGCCTCCTTCAGTGTCTGGGTTGGAGAGGATACCCCTTCCCCCCTGCCACCTGCTTTCTCTTGCCCAGGCTACAGTGTTGTGTCCTAAAAATCAGAATAACTGGGACTGGAGGACACACCCTTCGCACCCTGAGCCCTCCCTCCTCTCCTGGTGCAGCCCTGGTGCTCACTGGGAGCAGGGAGCGCATTAGCAATCGCCTTACAGAGCTCCCCCAGGACAGCGGCCCAGCCCAGGGACCAGGCTGGCACAGGAGGCCAGACGTTTCTTAGTACATGGGGGGTGGGATGATCTCTCAGATGCTGGGGGGGAAAAAAGTGAGGCTGCCCGTTTGTCAAACTTGAGCAACATTAGCTTCTTTTAGCTCGCCGTGAGCAGTAGCCCCCACAAAAACCAGCTGTGTGATTTCTTTTGTACAAGTAATTACAAAGCTGCAACCGGTAAATAAAGAATGAAATTATGGAAGTGCAATGAGCTCCTAGAAGGTGGGAGCACTCCGGGCCTGACCCATGCCTGGTGCCTCGCAGGGGGCCGGGCACCCCACCCTTTGTTGGCAGTGAGATGCCAATGCCCATTACAGATTTAGCCCTTCCCCAGGGTTGCTGGTGAAAGGCTGAGCTCACAGCTGCTCCCTTTCACGTTTACCCAGCCACCATCACTTGTGGAACGTGGTAGGAATCTAACTTTGCCCAACATAGTTGAAATAATTGGCTGATGGGCTTAAGAGCCCTCAAGGAGCCCGGATGACACAGAATCATGAGCCTAACCTCCCGAGGAACCCAGCTAACCTGCCAGAGCCCCGCTGCACCGGGGGCTTCTGCCAGGAGAGCTAGCATTAGCCCTGTGCCTGGGGGCAGAGGGGAAGATGGTGCCTCATCCAAGGAAATATTGGAAAGTCTTGTGCCCAGAGCAGGCTAGCCCAGTTCTCTGCTTTCTTACTATTATTTGTTTGAATAATAGTTCAATAGTTCTTTGTCAGAAGAGGTATTCCCCTGGACGTTCATTTTTGCACCCATTGGGAAAAAAAACGAAAGTCTGATGTTCTGCCTCTACCTTGAATGTAATCCTGAATCTTTCTGCTGTAACCACTACTTGTTTGTAATGTGTATTTGACTAGCACGCACTCTCCCTTCCACTATGCAGAAAAGGGTGAGGGGTGATCAGCACCATCTGAGACAGATAGTGCTGGGGCATCGGATCCAGAGCAAGTATTCAACTGGAAAAGGATAAAAAAGTGACAAGTTAATGGGGGAGAGAATGGACTTTAAATTGAATTATTTTTTCAGTTACAAATATTTGAAAAAAATCCATTTTATTAAAAAAATTCCAAACAGCCACATGCTTAAAAACATCTCTGCTATGCTGGTGGGAGGGTTTGGGGCCTCTCTGCCTTTTACCAGCTAAGGGTGGGTGATCCCTCCAGGTCTTTTTCAAACCTGAAAAAAAAAGCTTGAGTGGTGGTACCTCATCCCTTCTTGGCTGCAGGGAGAGTCCCTCCTGTATGGAAATTAACTACCCTGCAACCAGAAGTAGGTCTTGCAGTAGGAGAAGCAGGGGCAGCTTTTACAGCCTCCAACAGCCCAGTAGGCTGATCTGGACCCCTGCTGTTCTGGAGGTGAGGTGATGCTGCAGCGTTTCCCTGCCAGATGCCAAACTGGAATTACTTTGACTAAAACCACCAGTTTTCACATCAGTAAATATGCTGCAACTTCCACCGTCCCATGAGCTTGGGCGTCTGAACATAGTGCTGTTAGTGTCCCACTTTGCAGAAGAGATCCCAGCTGCTTTTTCTGCAGAACCTTGTTGACTTGCAGACAACACTGCTGTCCACCATGAACCCAGCCCCGTTTTCTACCAGACCCTCTCCCTTTGCTAAGGGCCCTTGCAGGGTCCCTACAGCCCTTCGAGTATTTTAAAATTTTGTCCTATGAGGACAGGCTGAGAGAGTTGGGGTTGTTCAGCCTGGAGAAGGCTCCAGGGAGACCTTAATGCAGTCTTCCAGTACTTCAGGGGGGCTTATAAGAAAGATGGGGACAGACATTTTAGCAGGGCCTGTTGCAATAGGACAAGGGGTAACAGTTTTAAACTGAAAGAGGGTAGATTTAGACTTAAGGAAGAAATTTTTCCCAATGAGGGTGATGAAAGACTGGCACAGGTTGCCCAGAGAGGTGGTAGATGCCCCATCCCTGGAAACATTCGAGGTCAGGTTGGATGGGGCTCTGAGCAACCTCATCTAGTTGAAGATGTCCCTGCTCATTGCAGGGGTTGGACAAGATGACCTTTAAAGGTCCCTTCCAACCCAAACTGTGCTACAATTCTATGATTTCTTGCTTGTTGGGGCCTCCTGGGGCTCTGCTGCAGAGCTGCACCCCAGGGAGGGCTGGCAGCAGAGGGAGGCAGGGCTGCCACTGCTGGCAGCACCACTGCCCCAGACACCAGCCAGCCTTGCGCGCTGCACTGAGGCAAAGCCAGTGTGCGGAGCCCCCACGGTGCCAGCGCAGGCTGAGCAGAGACCTCAGCTTGACGCTAGCAGAAGGCAGCGCAGAAATGGGGTCATAATTCTCAACTGGCAGAAATTAAGAATTAAAATCTAGTCCTAGCCCCATCAAAAAACAAAGCCAAAGCCCAGGACTCTTCCCAAGATACAGTTTATTTACAAACCCACTGAATAAAGGAAAGTAAGAATCTAGTGTCATTTCATGAGTAGTTTGTGCTCACAGACAAGCGCTTTCAGTAGAAAGTCACAGACTCCATATCCAGAGCCACCACCACAAAGCAGCAATTCTCCACTCCTGACCTGCATCCCCGCTGCCACCGCAGGGCGAGGAGGACCAGTTAGTCTCCCTGAGCCAGCTCCAACGCGAACCTCGTCCTGAGCTACAACAGTGCCAAAATATACACGTTCCTGGAGTTAATTTACAGCTTTTTGGTTAACAGTAAAAATCATCTAGAGACTAAAATGACAGCATGAAACACTCCTGTTTAGGGAAGAGGCAGTTTTTGTCTGCTCCCAGAAGAGACAAGGCCCATACCCTAAGGCTGTTACAGTGGTAACAGGCCAGTGCAGTCGGGCACCTCTTGTCAACACCCCACACACCAGTACCAGGGAGGTGGGATGAGGCTGATGCCAGTTCCCCCTTCTCAGCCACGGCTCCTGGTCAGAGGAACTTGTCCAAGTGCTTCAGGGTTTGCCATCCCTCTCCCCGACAGAGGGGAGCCTGTGGCTGGCACCGCCTGTGGCTGGCACCGGGATGGGGGCATGTGCTAGCCCTGCTCCCGTACAGCACGAGTCTCTCACCAGCCCCATTCCACCTGCACCCACGATGCCACCTGCCAACAGCACCAGCTCCCGTCGGTCAAAGCCACCCCACAAGGGCTGTCTCCTCCCCACAGCTACAGCAGCAGACACGCTCACACCCCCACGCAGGGCAGCGCAGGAAGGGCTGCAGGGCAGGTGGCTCGCCCAGGCGCTGCTGGGGGGAGTCAGGGCTGAGGCAAGTAAAAGATGGGGGTGGCAGAGATGGGGCACTTGTTTTTGTGGCCAGAACACACTTGTCCCTTTGCAGTATCACCCTCGACCACCACCTCCCTGGGGTCTGCAGCTCAGCCTCTCGGCACTGCTGCCATCTCTCCCAGGTGGCCTGGCAGCCCCCTGAGGGGGATTTTGTCACAGATACAAGTGAGTGGGGTGGGGGGAGGGCAGGGGGTGAGACATGATGGGAGTGGGGGAGAGGAGTGTGCGCCATTGAGAAGGTTCCCCAGGATGGGGCAAGGTGGGGGTCACCCATCTATGTCCCAGCTGAAGAGATGGTGCTTCACGAGCATGTCCTGCACCCCTTCCTTCAGCGGCTTCTTCTCCTTCTCCTGCAGGATGACACAGAGACCCGGGTCAGTGCACCGCACCCAGAAAAGGGGGGGTTGTGTCTGCGGGCAGAGCCCAAGCACGCTGAGGTCTCCAGCACCCAGACAGAGCAGCTTTCTGCACTTCCCACCTCTGGGCAGCTGAAACAGGGAGAGGCCCTGCGGTTCGGAGAGCACCGGGGAAGGGAGGGGCCTACCATTTCCTTCTGCCCCAGCTGGGAAGGGGCAGGCAGCACCCTCTGCCAGCACTGCCACATACCTCGGTAGGGAACATGACCCCATCCACAGCCCCTGGTGCCGGCTCAAGAGGAGGCAGAGGATGGGCTGGAGCACAAAGCCAGGAGAGGAAGGCAGTAAGCAAAGCCCACGGCTGAGAGACAGAATGAAAGATGCCACCTACTCACCTCCCTTTTTGTTGGCAGCTCCCAGTCCTGAGAGAGGCTGAAGGCAAATTTGCAGAGGACTCTGCAATGGAAGAGAGCGATGGTAACACATGTGTTCACACACACCCAGATCACACCCCCAGCCTGTGCCCGCAACTGCTGCCCCCAAGGCACACAATTGCACTGGCTCCTCGGCTTGCCCTGCACACCACTAAGCTTACAAGAATGAAATTCCTTGTTTGTTGGTGTTGAAAGGGCAACACCAGCCACTCATCCCCTGTTCCCACCCACTCTTTGGGCTTCACATCGTGCCAAGCCCATGCAGGAAAGAGAGGCTTGAGGATGTGACTCAAGTGCAACCCCTACAGAGCCTGACAGCAGTGCAGGGAGGCACAGGCAGCCCCAGGCTCTGCTAGACTGCAGATACCGCAGCTGAGGACTGTACACAGCTAGCAATGGGGGGTTGCAGGTTCCTCTCTAGAAAGCAGACTCCTGCCACTAGCACCTCAGAGATTCTGCACCCCTTTCTCTCTCTCTCTCTCTCTCTCTCATTCTCTGAAGTAAGAGATGTGTCCCGACCCCCATGCACAAGTGCCGCATGAGGATGGCACATGGAGCTCCCTCGCTGGACCCAGCCCTAAGCAGGGGCTGCAGGCACAGCCTCAACCCTGTCCCTAGGACAGGGGACACAGAGCTCAGACCTCCTGGCAACAAGCTCATCAGTCCTTCAGACTCAGGGGAAACTCCTATGTGGGGGTCTCCTCCAACTCCTGCAGCAGTGAGGGAGCCAAGGCCATCCACAGGAACCTAGCTGGGAGAAATATGTCATAAAACCTCCGTTTCTGCTCCACACTAACCTGGGCCCAGCCATGAACCAGGCCCACTTGGTCCTTCGGCTGTGAACTAGCACTGCCCCCGTGCTGCGAGACCCAGGACAGGGCAGCAGAGAGGTGGAGGGGGCTCCCCCCTCCCTCCCATTCAGCAGCAGCACAAGGAGAACAGGGAACCCCGAGGTGCGTACGTACACACGGGCCTGTTCCTGCTACTGACGCGCCCACATCTGGAACAAAAACCAGTTCCCACAGGACGGCAGCAGCAGCAGGGCTGGAGTGGTGGTGGTGGTGGTGGGGAGGGTTGCTCTGCAGCTCACTGGGACTGGATGTGGCTTTGCAGAGTGCAGGAGGGCCAGGAGCACGCAGCACGGGTGCGTGCCCTGGGCTCCAAGCGATGTGCTTCATGCGAGCTCAGCTGCCTTCAGCCCCCGACACCGCTCCCTCGCTTAACCAGGAGTCAGCCGATGAGTGACTCCTTCCCGGCCAGCAACAGCCAGACTGTCTCCCTAGCACGTTCCCTGTTCCCTGCTTTGACTCATGGTGGCTGGCACAGGACCTGGAGACCAGCAGGGTGGAAAAGGCACCATCAGAGTAGGCGCAGGGCGCAGCAGGAGGCTGCTGGCAGGCAGAGGCTGCCTGATTGTCACAACAGCTCCCCAGGAGCCAAGCTCAGCTCCTGATCAGGCAGGCACAGTGCATCCATCGCATTAGACTGTCTAGACAGTTGCTGCTGCCTCAGCACACAGAAGGAAATCTCTGCAGCAGGGATGTCCGGGCAGCCCACGCTGCTACTCACTGGAGAGGGTCCAAAGCCAGCCATAGTGAGGGCCACCTCCTGCAGGGGAGGAGGAAATCCACTCCAGGCCCTGGCAAGACCCATGGGGACAGACTCACCTCAGCTCACATTTGATCTGCACCCAGCCAGGACTGCGCAGGAATGACCAGGGATGGAACCACTTCTCCACGGTCTGCAGGCTTGAGCACAGCACTTCCAGCCACAAATGCAGTACCTGCTCACTGCAGCGACAGGGTGGAAACATGTTACTCGGCTGAAGCCAGGGAAAGAAGCCCCCATCCCTTTGGTATAATTTATTTTCAGCCCAAGCCTTGATCCCAGCCCACAGTCCTGTCCCCAGTGGGAACAGGATAACCCAGTAAACTTCTACGAGCCACTCCACGCAACGAGAGCTACTTCTTCCAGCCAGGAGCCAGGCCAGCATGATGAACAAAGAAAGGAGCCGGTCCCACTCAGTGGCTGCAGAGAGGGAGAAAAAGACCCTATGGCCTACAGTAGATTGAAACAACTGCTGCCCTTGAGCCTGCTCTGCCCCCTCCCAAGCTCCTCACACCCCTCACCCCAGGGGTGGGTATCAGGACTGGATGACTCACTTGAGTCCAACACAGATGAGGGAACGAAGCTTCACGTCCATCTGTGCATGTGCAGCATCGTGCGTCATGTTTACTGCCTGAACCGCCTGCAGGGCAGGAAGATGTGGTTACTGCCTTCTCGGCTTGGCCTTTGGCTGGGCAGCCATTTCAGCAACACAGGCAAATGCTCTCCTCCCCAGAGTTCCCCACCCTCACCCAGTGCCACCGGTTAGCATCAGAGGGGCCGAGCCTTCTTGATGGCTTCACTTTCTGCCTTTCCCCAAGCACTTGGTGTCTCTATTGCTTCCCATCAAGGAAGGTCTGGGAGATGCTCAAGCATCTTGCTAGAGAAGGGCATCACCCTTCAGCAGCCTCCATGGGAAACTTCCCCACATTAGGAGCTGGGCTTTGGCTGGGCTGGGCGCAGCACTCACCCGGTAAAGCAGCTCCTCTGGAGTGAGGACTTTGCCATCTTCATCAAGCCTGCAAAGATCACAGCAGAGCGCTAGCCAGCTCCGGAGCCACGCTGGGCACAAGCAGGCCTTTACCCCTCCATACCCCAACAGCTCCCTTGCTACTGCTGAGCCCACAGTTGATCCTGCAGCCATGACAGAGCGAGATACAGCCCCAGAAGCAAAGACAGGAGCACGAGGAAGGGGGCAAGAGTCACTGCCAGCCCCAAGTCAGCATGGGCACAGCAGCCTGCTGACACCACACCCACAGAAGGATGGTGCAGACCATGACCCTTCCCAAGGTGGAGAGCAGCAGCAGGTTGATGAGCGTGCAGGAGCAGCACACAGACCCAGTTACTTCATGTGAATAAAGTGGCCTTACCTGTAAGTCTTGCACAGCACAAGGCGAGAATACACAGAATCAAAGTCCCGTTCCACTTCCCGGCTTGCAGCCTAGTAGGGCAGAGGGACAGTCAGTGCACTCTGCCCCACAGGCCCATCACCCCAGCCCTCTGCCAACACAGCCCCATGAAGGGAACGGAGACATCTCACCTCTTCAATGAACAGCCAGGGATGGCAGGGCCCCCCCAGCAGAGATGGCTTCTTCAATCCATGTTCAAATATGGACTTCAAGGCTGGACAGAGTGTCCCTCGCACCAAGTCCGTCACCCCTTCTGTGACTGAGTCATCTCCAGCGATGGAGTACTGAGGAACATGAAGAGCCAGCTCTCAGCACACTGGCAAAGGCGCAGAGCATGGAGGCAGTCCGCTCACCTACAGCTTCTCTGTGCACACCTCTTCCACCCCCAGATGCCACCAGCCATGCCAACCCCCCCCCCCCCCCAACCCCCTCTCTCTCTCACCAAGAGACCGC